ATACATTGTGTATCCCAACATTCTTAGATGTCTTATTATTACTACTATTATTACCGAGAACAATACATTGTGTATCCCAACATTCTTAGATGTCTTATTATTACTACTATTATTACCGAGAACAATACATTGTGTATCCCAACATTCTTAGATGTCTTATTATTACTACTATTATTACCGAGAACAATACATTGTGTATCCCAACATTCTTAGATGTCTTATTATTACTACTATTATTACCAAGAATAATACATTGTGTAACCCGACATTCTCAGATGTCTTATTATTGGATTTGGATTTTGAGATATATGTAGAAAATAGTTGATTCGTTAATACATGTATGCACAGATTTCATTCCAAAACTAATTAGGTCTGTGTATTGTTACAGGGCACAAGTTTTATGTTTCATTACTGTGTGACAATCTTAAATCAAAAAAAAAAACTTAAAAAGAACTCCCGTGTGCTGAGAGTATTGAAGACACGTTAACAATTAATTCAAAATTGCTTGTACCTGAGATATTGATGGAAAAGCTGAAAACTAATTATGTAAATCAGGTTACCTGATATGAACAAAACCAAAAAAAAATTAACTAATTATGCAAATTAGGTAATTAATATCCACAATTATTCACCCTAAAACCAATCAGGTCTCTGCACAGTTTGATTTTTACACCCTATAAAAACATTCAATTCACTTTTCTTCCTACTGAGTGTTTGCTCCTTGTAGTCCAGCATTGAAAAATACAAAAAAGTAGAATTTTGGGTTTCAAAGCAAAAAAAGGTGTACAGCATCCTTAAGCAACTATGTACCAAGTTTCATTGAAATATGATTACTACTTGAAATATCAAAAGCTGAAAATTAAATAATTATGCAAATTAGGTAATTAATATCTACTGATACTACCCTAACAACTATCAGGTCTGTGCAGTATCCTATGACATCTGTGTACCAAGTTTTATTGAAATGTGATGATTAGTACTTTAGATATCAGTGGAAAAGCTGAAAATTGATTAATCATTATGCAAATTAGGTAATTAATATTGCACAGATTTTTACCCAAAACTGCGCATTAGTTTGGAGCATCTATGTGCCAAGTTTCATCAAAATCTAATGAGTGGTTCTTTAGATATCAGTGGAACAGCTAAAAATCAGCTAATTATCATGCAAATTAGGTAATTAATATTCACAAATTTGTACTAAAACCTAATCAAATCTGTGCATTGGCCCAGAGCATCTATGCACCAAGTTTCATAAAAAATTACTGTAATGTATGGTTCTTGAGATATCAGTGGAAAAGATGGCACACATACACAGACACCCATTGTGTACACGGATGTCAAAAATGGATGGAAAGAAAATATGATTATGCAAATTAGGTAATTATTCTGCGTGTATAAACTCAAAACTAATTAGATCATCACATTGTCTTAGAGTATATATCTACCAGGTAATTAATATGCACTGATTTTAATGTAAAACTAATAGAAGTTGAAGTACTTGATTATCTTGATATATCAGTGGAAAAGCAGAATTTTATCCAAAACTAATCAGGCCTGCGTATTGTCATCAAAATTCATTTACATGGTTCTTTAAGCTCAGTAAAAATTGGCAAATTAGAAGATTAATATGAAATGTATTTCAACCAAAAACTAATCAAATCTGCACATTATATCAGAGCATAAATCTACTATGTTTCTGTGGTGGGTAAGTTTATATCGCAAAACTAGGCGTTGAGGTGTTCTTTTCGTCCCATAAAACGAACTGACTAAACATGCGGAATTGTCTACGATGTCAACTCCTCATGAAGCTATTTCTGTATTTCTGTTCAAAGAATTCCTATTTAATTATTCAGACGCCATTTTGTTGTGTACAATTTATATTCCATTCAGTACACAAATTTATATGTTTCAAAAAAGGTTGTCATTTTGCGTCATTCATTTTACTTCTAAAATAATTAAATAGGAATTCTTTGAACAGAAATACGTTTGGTGAAATCAAATACGTTTGATGAAATCAAATACGAATTTTAGAGAATAAAATAATATTTATGAAATGTAAAATAGAATTTACAAACATAAATTGCGTTTTATGGAATGAAATATGGATTTTACAAATGTAAATCGCGTTTTGTGGAATAAAATATAGATTTAAAAAAAAATGTTTTTAATAATATTGCAACACTTGGCTTGCCATAGCAATGGATTCTAGCTTTTTGTACGAACGGAGTTAACTCCATGGCGGACGCCATTGAAGTGTGCAAAGCAATATAATAATAATAATAATAATAAATACAAGTTTATATAGCGCCTAGTATCCATCGCAGTAATGCTCACTGACGCTTGGT